ACGCTACTGCCCATGTTGGTTTCAGGAATTAGAGGAAAAATGCAGAATTGTATATACAGTCTATGGTAATAACTGACCATCAATGTAACAAGTTGCTACATTTTGGGCAAAATGTTTTTACGTTTTGGGCGTTTTACAGTTTTATTTTATTGTGGGTCAGTTATTACATTTTGGGTTTTATTACATTTCAGGTCATTGTTACACATTGGGCTCTAACAGGGCCTATCAAGTGTCATTCATGTTACAGTGAATCACTGCAGCTGTAGAGCTACACTGTGACAAACAGAAGAAAACTTGAGTCTGAAGTTAGCAGAAGGTGGATGTAAAGCAGGAGATGCTGCTGGTTTGTACAGCATTAAAGAAAGGCCGTCTGCAGCAGGAACACAGCTGGATGAGATTCAGCACTATTGGTCAGCGGAGACCCTGAGGGTCACTTTCTTTATGGATGAGACAGGAGCCAATCACAGTCCCAACACCGTCATCTCCTGTCCTGATTGGCTGTGGGTCCTCAAAAAACGGACACACACACACACACACACACACACACACACACACACACACACACACACACGCACACATGCACACTCACAGCCATGGCATGTCTAACAAATGAGCTTTAACACAGGGGGTTCACTGCTTGATACAAATACATGGCAGCACACTGTCATATCTCTCTGTCTTCAGTTCACACACACTCTTACACAAATACACAACACACACAATGTCATTGAAGACCCCACAGGATCCAGCAAAAGGAGCTTTTGATTTGCATAGCGTGCACATTTTTAGCATCACGAGTGTTTATTGGCTCATCCTAGGTGATAACAAGGAGAGAGAGAGAGAGAGAGAGAGAGAGAGAGAGAGAATATTCTGTAGCTTCATGATGTCCGCGGGGACTGACTCTCTCCCTCTCTCTCATTCGCTTTCTTTTTTCTCTTTTTATGGCAGTGTGTCAGTAGAGGATGCAGATGGAAACATGCCACACACACACACACACACACACACACACACACACGTATGTACATGCATACATACCCAACTCACACACACACGCGGCTCGGCTGACTGACTGACTGACTGCTGTTCTGCGAGGCCTCCCAGTCTGGGAACCCAGAGGTGTCAGACAGTTATAATTATCACTCCTACTTCCCCCTCCACACACACACGCACGCACGCACGCACGCACGCACGCACGCACACACACACACACACACACACACACACACACACAGTTCCAGGGTTGAATGGCATCCAGTTAAAATCTGGGCTTGTGCACCAGTCTGAAGTAAAAAAGCAGAGAAACACCCTGGAAGGCTTGTTTTCTCTCACTGCTGTAAAAGGATATCACTGTGCAGCGTTCCTAATTTTCTACTTCTGTTATCACATTTTTGAGCCATAAATAATTCATACATAATGTTCCAGCGTGAGGCTTTCTGTTTTTGCTCCACATGTACAAATCCACTTGGGACTGTGATAACCTGGGAAAATCTAGTATGAGGATTTGGGAGAGTTTGAACCCTTGTGGGATTATGAAGTGAAAAAAAATGAATGACAATTAAGAATAACTCACTAAAATTGAAAACATTTTATGCATACTTCTAATAATCTTACAGTTTTTAGGGTTTGCATTAAATAAACCCTCAAAAAGAACTATGTCAGAGGTTAGAAGCTTGACATCCTCCAGTTTGTATCTACTTTGTAGCTTTGTGCTAAATCAGAGTTTAAAACTGCTAATAACAAAGGCAAAGATGCACTTGAGCTCCCAATTAAAAGAAATTATTTTGGAAGGTAAACTGTGTCCCTGAGCTCAGACTTAAATTCAGTGTGTAATTATTCATATTTTTGTACATCATAGACCTTCAAGAGTCAGGTTTTCAATAGTCTGGGTCCCTAACCTGTGGATTTTTGAGGCAAGGGGGCTTAAAAAAGTGAATAGAAAACTTTTTTAAATCGAGGTAAAAGTTTCACGAGTTTAAGGACATGCCATTTTAAAAATAATAAAAGCTTAGTGTGAATCCGCCAGCGCCACGGCAACCGACAGGCTGACTGGTTGAGCAAATAGGAGAAAAACAACATTCATGCCTCAGCCAAACCCTCGCTGCATGCATCTATAACATGCTCCTCAAACATTCAAGTTAGTATAAAGAAGCAGTGATGTATGTAAATGCACGTATAGTAATTCACTGTGAGGAGTCCCCCTTCATGTGAACACAACAGTCAGTGTAATGACTACATTAATCTCCAGAGAGACATCTCACTCACAGTATTTACATCAAACAAAGGACTTGGGTATCCTCAGGTAATTAGAAATATAAACCCACTGCACAGCATGCTAATGTGTGCTTACTCACACACAGGCACACATGTTCCACAGCTACAGGAGGAATCACTGTGTTTGTTGACAAAAACTTTTGGCTACTAGCCCCCCCCCCCCCCCCCATCTCTTTGCTGAAACTGTCCTGTGCATGTCCAGGCAGTGCTTTTCCTTTTTTTCTTTTTAAACAAATCTCATCTTGCTGTTATTAACAGTCAAATGTATCACACATTCAGTGATTTGCTGAAAATAAATGAAGGCTGTTTTTGCTTCTCCCTGTTCATCACTTTGCCTGAAACGTACCCTGCAGCGGCAGTTTCTTACATTGAAAAGAACTATAATGAAATAATCTGTGTTGTTGCTAATGGTCTGGCTTGTTTTTGTAGCTCAAAAAGAAGCATTAATATTAATTTTTTGTCTGTTTCATAACTAGCTGAAACTCCTCGCAGGAGCCTTCAAGTATGTCTGCAAACCAAAAAGTACTGTACTGATGTGTTAAGGCCAAAGATTATGTTCAACCTTGCAGAGCCAATTTGAAAGTGTTTTTTGTTCAAACAGTTGATAAATATGCAACGTCTAATTAGACTTAAAAAGAGGAGACTGAATTTGAAAGTTTTGTAACAAAAACCACCACTGGGTTCATAGAAACTGTGGTGGTTTGGTGCAAGTTATAGTAAATACCAACATACTTCAAGCTCATAGATGCATATAAAAGGGATAAGATACAGCATCTAAAGTGGTACCTAAATCATCCTATTTTGAAGTGTAGCTTCAATGGATTCACCATTTAAACAAAAAAAAAACAAATGGCAGCTGTGCAAGAGAAGCTAAAACTTTTAAAGCTGTCAAGTTGAAGCTGTTGTCCCTCCAGAGCCGAATGACTTGGAATTCGTTAAGCCTTTACTGGAGATGCCAACGCTGAAGTGAAGGAAATAAACTCCTAATAGATGCTGCCACATGGTATCTAGATAAGGAGATGGTGAAGTGAAAGTTTGGATTCCTCTTCTCTCTCGGTTAAGCAGTCCTATTGTAAATGCTGCTAGTGATTGGAATTGAGGCTCAGAAAACTTTGCTCTGCAAGCATCAACTCTTTCTCTTTTTTTTATTCAGAGCCGTGTGCCAAGCTCTTTTGCCCAGCAGTCGTTAGCTGTTTTGCTTTGGTATGATCACGCTCATGATCACTACAGCCTCTCCCGCGTTGAGCTCATTCTGTTCCTCTGCTTCTCAGTCACACAAGCTGCGTTTCCATTACCCATAGATTTGCGCAAAACCTAAATATCGCAATAGAAAACTGGTAATGGAAACACCTAAATTTTTTAAACTCTCATGAGGTGGTTTTTCAGACGTGTCGATATAGAAGTATATCGCAAAAGTGTAATGGAAACACTATTCTCGCAATTCTCTGTCACTGGACGTGACGTAGCGGGTCGTGTGATCAGTTCATTTCAAGCAAAGATGGCATGGTTTGTGTGGACGGGGGAGGAGACAGAAATATTTCTGAAGTTTTGAATTGTATTTGTATTTTCTGAAGTTTTGAATCCACAATTCGTCTGTGAATTCCTCATTAACGATCCTCTCCCAGAAATCCCTCATCCGTGTCCGCTCCCATACATACGGGCTTTGCCTTTGAATTATCACCCGCTGCCTTCGTCTTCTGATGACAGCAGCGGCAACAGCAGTAATGGTCACAGAAATGGCTGCTCCAAAACGCAAAATGTTTTGTGTCTCGTCCATGTTGGTGTGCAAAAAGGCTTAAGGAATACGAGGTCACACGGGCAGGAAGTTTACCTCGTTGCTAGGCAACGGCCATTCAAACACGGCTTGCGAGAGGCAGACGGCTCACTTATGCACTGAACACCATTCAATGGAAACACCCGCAAATCGCAATTGTACTTTGTCGCAGCTACAGATACTCACATTTGCCTATGCCTGCTCCTCTCCCTGCTCTCCTCTCTCCTCCTCCTCCTAATCCTCTCTGTGTAATCCCACTTTAAATCCGATTAATTACTCAGCTCTATGAACCCTGTATACAAGTTCAAAATACACTGTCCACCTGCCTTAATTTCTCATACATCCCTGGTAAATGCCATAAGAATTCATCCTCTGACTATATAAACTGTCCCTATCTGCAGAGTGTGGCTCTGACACTGCATGAGGACCAGTGGAAGTATTCATGTACCTGATGTACACTTACACATGAACCACGCACAAACAGTTGTTTGTGTGTGCGCGCATGTGCATGTACACACCCTGCCACCCACCCATCTCTTACTGTAGACAAATGTGTGTATGAATAGCAGGTGTTTCGAATGAAAATGCTGGACCACCCAGGACTTTCTGTATCGCCCTGCCGACCTCCAAGGCTGACAGATGAAGGCTATTCACATCAAGCCTTTAACACCTTCAGCTCCCCCTACACACCAACGCGAGAGCGTACGCACACACACACACTCAATAGTCAATACAAGCTCTGCACAATCCCCTAAGACAAATGGAGAGACTTCAAACACATATACACACAACCTCAGAAAAACAGAGTGGGAGGGCGAGAGAGAGTAACAGAGAGAGAGAGAGGCAGTCAGTGGTTTACCAGAGACAGAGAGAAACCTTACTTTAGCCTCCTCTCTCTCTTTCCTCACCCTCCCTCCTTCTTGCCTTTTCCAAAACAAATGCACAATCCTCATCTGGAGAGAAATACTCAGTGTTAGGGCAACGGCTCCATTTACTCCTGTGGGGGTTCATTTGGGTCCTTTCAGGCCCTGTGTGTGTGTGTGTGTGTGTGTGTGTGTGTGTGTGTGTGTGTGTGTGTGTGTGTGTGTGTGTGTGTGTGTGTGTGTGTGTTTGAGAGGGAGGGGTGAGGGAGTAGGAAATAAAAGGCGTGGGGCGCTGTCAAATAGCCCCCCACTTTTAATGGCCCAGCTGCACCATTACCTAGCACACACACTGGGCCCAAATAGACTGAGGGAGGAGAAGGAGGACGATAGACAAGTCTATCAAACTGAGTATGAGGAGAGGAAGGGGAGGGGGCACTCATCATTACCTAGCAAACACTGCCGGAGTCAGAGAAAACTGAAAGAAAAAGGAGGAGGAAAAGGAGGAGGAGGGAGGAAGGAGGCTACGAACAAGCAGCAAACTGAAGTACAAGATTTGGTAGTGAACTTAAACGTGACACACATGCGGTTCATGCAGGAATCTGAGGGACTCTTTCAGCAGCTCTCTGTTTTGATGATGATTGTGATGATGATGTAACAAACCCGTCACTATCAGGTGTGTTTAGTGGGTGGACAGCCACAAATCTACCCAGCAGACTGGCTGGAGGAAGGAGGTGTGAAGGGACTGCTGAAACATATAAGACATTCACAGGAGGTGCATTCACACAGACACATATGAACACCATGAAAAAGTGTTTGAGGTGAAGAGAAACTTGATCTTCTTGCTATAATGTTTTATATTTTTAGATTATTCAGCAGCAGGTTTATGTTGGTCTGTTACTATTTTTATTTTCCACATTGATTTGGACAAAAATATCTCAACAGTTTGTTATGTGTACAAGTGAGGTGATGACTCTCGGCAACAGTCGGCAATCGAGCTTCCAGAGTACTTCCTGTCCACTTTCACATCATTGCAAAGCCAAGACCTTCTGAAAGTACACAATGTATGTTGCATGTGTTATGTTCACCGGTCTAGTTATCTTATTTTTGTCTATATTCCATTTCATGTTTTGTGTTTCTTGTTTGATTTATTTTGAAATCACTAACCCCTGTCTCTGTTTTAGGTTGTTCCTGTCAGCCCTTCCCTCATTTCTTCACAGCTGCTCTCTGATTGTTTCCTCCAAACCTGTGTCCAATCACCCCATTACCTCTTGTATTCAACACCTTGGCTGTTTTCGAATCGGCCTGCTACATACTGTTGCCGACTGCAGTATGCAGTAGATACTGCATACTGGGTACTGTGTTTGATAGTAGTATGTAGTATTACCGCAAGTCGGCCGTCATTATGTAGTATGCTTGGCCCGGTTTTGCTGGTTTCTGGTATGGAAAAGTACATTGTACCCTGGTAAATTGTACAGACACTACAGCAATGCCCATTCATTTACGCACTGAAGAAAAAAGAATTATGTGTTTTAATTTGATTTTTTGGGGATTTTTTTAGCCCAATACCAGCCATCAAAACATATCTGCAATGACTCGTCGATCTAGCAGCATTTGATTCTCGTCATGGCGCTGTAAATACAGCAAAGTCATGGTATGTCAGTTATGTTTTTCTCATTTCTTGCTTAAATGAAAGAAGTTGCAAACCTCGCTAAATGTGTTAACTGATGGCGTCTGCGTGGTTTGGTCTTATTTCCCTTTGTCCCGATAGTTTGACAACTACAGTAAACAACTGTAATACAAACTCCTGTCTCCTGTCAATTTATTTCAAATACTGTTTTGGCTGCTGATTAAATCAGACTGCATTAACGTTTACTCACCTTTCTGCATTAAAACTTTAAACCCCCCTTTAATGCCAGCTGCCTGTCCAGATGTGTGTGTTAAAGTCCTTTCACACCGGGACCATTTTTGTCGTGTGATTATTTCAGACGTCAATATTTTTTTTCAAACCCATATCCTGTCAATACAAGCGTTCACATCAGCAATGTTTTCCCATCCTGCGATGTTGCAGCATTTATTTTTTCGGATCATAGTCGATTTTTCTAAATTTTTGCATACTGTGTGTCCACTTCTGACCAATCAGATTGCGTGTTGTTGCGAAGTCTGATTCACCGGTATATCCAACATGGCTGACCAGCTTATTGTTTGCATGTCGGAGAACAGAATGCTTTTTGACAAAAGACACAAACGTTACAAAGATAATGACCTGAAGGAAAACTTGTGGAGAGTCATAGCGTCAGATTTCTCATATGACGATGGTTTGTGTGCTTTAACAGTTTGCTAAACGGCTTTGTTTTAAATTTCATCAGTGCTAACGTAAGCAAACGGTTGTTACCATAGTTTCATGTGCTTATCTGGTACTGGCCCCGACTCAGTATCTGCTATCATGACAGAAAGCCATCTCAACCCTAGTGTCTAATCAAAACTGAGAACAATCAGTGACCGTAGTACAGTTTCAGTTCATGAACCAAGCAGTGAAACTCACCAAGTTCTCTTCTTTTTTGAAATATTGGATGCACCCATGTGCTACATTTCTTTTTCTTTTGGGGAAGCAAAACGAGTACCAATTCGCCATCACTTGAAGTTGAAGTAGACTCCATTTTTGTCCTCTCACTTCCACCAGGGACGCTGTAGGATGGTAAGGGAAGGTCACGCCCTCTTTTACCTCTGATTGGCTATAAGTGCTGACCATTTGGCTTGAGCGTGTGATGACGTTTCCAGCTATTCTAGCCAATCAGAGACGAAGGAGGTGGGACTTTCCCTGGGAAAAGTCTTCCCTGGGATGCATCTTTTACCCCCCGGAAAGTCACAAAATCACATCTGGCTTGATGTGTATAGTCAGGCGCGTCAAAATTCGCCTCCAAATATTTCGTAATTTCGCCTCATGTCGGCCCCAGTGTGTAAGGACCTGTAAACATCATGCATACCATACAGTATAAAGGATGAGGAGGAGCAGGAAAATTTGAGAAAGATTTGAGGAAATGGAAATAATATTATAAAGACTGACATGGCTGGATCCGTAATTTAGCTAATTTGAGACTAATCCACCGCTAATCCTCTGTCTGTCCAGGCACTTTGCATTGTAGGTAACAGTAGGCGAAGCAGACAGGTCCGATGCATACTGTGAAATTTTCCCGAATCAGTACGTCATCCAGGTATTTTGGCATACTGCAAATTTTGCATTTGTTCGCCTACTGCCTGCTGTATACTACATTTTGGGCAAATCAGTATGTACTGCTAGTATAGTAGTCGAATTCAAAAATAACCCTTGTCTGTCCCTCTCTTGTCACCATTTTGTTGTCTTTAAGTCCGGTCCCAGCTTTCTTCATGTACATAATCGGAACCTTGCTAGTGTTTTTGATTTTTGCCTTTTTGCCTAGTGTTTTTGGAAATCTCTGCCTGTGTGGACTGAACCCTGGACTAAAAATAAAACCTGATTTTTGCCAAGATGACTTCTTATATGTATTTTCTGCCGTTGGGTCCCTTTTTGAGAGCCTGTTCCTGACAGCATGGTCGATGTCTGTCCCCTGAAAATGTTTCTTGGATCCTGATGTGTATAATTCATTAGTGACAGAAGCCTTTTATCTGTATGTAATGGTATCCATATGAAGTGTTACCTGGTTGCAGCTGAATGCCGACGCAGCTGATTGATACTTCACTAAAATGCTGAATGAATGTGAATTCTCTGGTTTGATGGACTGATCAGGAGTTTATCTTTTGCTCTTACCCTACACTCACCTGTCATCTTTGCTGCAACAAAGTAGGACTGAGCTTAAATGTATCTGCTGTAGGCAGAGCATAGTGGCACACAACAGAGCTCAATAGAGTCGCCCTCAGAACTTTGATGCCTCATTGACATTATATTTCTTTCTCATATACAGCACTTGACTTTATAGTAAGCCATGTAAACCAGAAAATAGACACCTGGTGCTTGGATCTGGAAGTTCGTCACCATGGGTCCGTTTCACGTAGGTGGTTCAACAAACTCTGAGTTAAATCCTTAACTCTGAGTTGATCTACTCTGAGTTAGGAAACTCTGAGTTTCCGGTTTCACAACTCCTGATTTGAGGCGGTTTTAACAACTCCGAGTAGTTTGACCTGGAGTTAAGCACGTGCACGCCAGACATAAACAGCCAGCATCTGTGGAGTGCAGATTCATTGATCAACCAATTGAAACAGGGAGAAGGAGGGGGCAGCAGCAAGCCAACAGCGAATTACAGCACGTTTAAAGAAAGTGCAATACAGCAGCAGCTGCAAAGGAGAGGGAGAGGGCATGGGAGGAAATCGCCACTCGCGTCAATGCGTAACTTTAAATCTAGTCTCGTGCAAACACAATGACAGACTGTTGCAGGGAAACTGCTTGAATCATTTTGATCATGTTTTACATTGTCAAGTAAGTATTAAGTGGCAGTTTGATCCCTTAGAAAATGCTCTTTTCACACTCAAAAATGAATTTTACTCTCTTATGATGTTCCGTTAAATGATTAGGAATATTAAACTAACTCTCAGTATGTAGGGAGGGCAGATGCCAGAAAAACGGGTGGTGGTCCAGCAGCCCCCCCCCCCCCCCCCCCTTCGACGATCGCAACCCCCACCCCGTAGCAGCGATCGTCGGACTGGTGTGCGTGTGTGTGTGTGTGTGTGTCTGTGGTGGGGGGGGATTTGCGATCGGACCGGCCGTGATCATCGAACGGGGGGGTGGGGGGCAGCTCCTCTGCCTCCGTTAAAGGTGGGGCTGCTGGACCACCACCCGTTTTTGTGTTAGTTTAATATTCCTAATCATTTAACGGAACATAATAAGAGAGTAAAAATTCTGTTTTGAGTGTGAAAAGAGCATTTTTTAAGGGATCAAACTGCCACTTAATACTTACTTGACAATGTAAAACATGATCAAAATGAGAAAATGCCGATGTCTCACCTGAAACTCTGGGTTTACTGAGTTAAACCTGCTCCCGAGCAGGTTAGGTTCACGGAGTCTGTTACTGTGGTAACTGACCGCGAGGTTGAGTTACCTCTCTTTGTGAAACAGGTTAGATTTACCCCTCTCTCCCTGGTTTAACTAACCCTCCTTTGTGAAACGGAAAACTCAGAGTTTCCCTGATTTCAGGGTTAACAAACTCGGAGTTTCCACTAAACCTGCTACGTGAAACGGACCCCATGTCTGTGCACACAGTAAATTACCCAGTGCCCAGGGCTTTTAGGTATGTACTTATGAAAGGGCTAAAAACTCTTAAATAATGACCACACTGTCACTGAACTATGACAGAACCTAACCTAGCATAACTATCAACTGAAAGTTCACTTCCCAAAAATTACTTTATTTTACAAAAACAGCAATTTTCTTTAAATTAAAATAAAATAAAATGAGGCTAGCAGTTTAAAAGTGAAAGTTCATTAAAAAAAAAGTCTTAACAACTTCAAGAAGTAAATAGTGTAGGTCAACCATTATTTCAGCAGTCAACAAAATTTGACTACACTTGTAAGCTAACATTAGCAGTCTCTCACGAGCCAATAGAAGACCGTGGAGAGTTGTAGCAGTAGAATCCTCAAACTGATTAACCAAATAGAAAATAAACCTGATTTTATGCGTGCACTCTGGAAAATTATGATCATGTTAGGAGCTCTGCATCTTGAAATTCCTTAGCTTATGATTTGACCCTGTCCTCTTCCAGTGTGAGGTCTTCCCCGTGATGGCAGGGGTGAGTGAGTAGGTCTCAGAGGCTAGAAGTGGAGTCAAATCAATGTCAATATTCAAATCATATCAAAGTCATGATATGTCGCTGAATCTTATTAAAGATTACTTTGTTTTTACTCTTAGATGTTTTGCAATTTTCCTTTAAGTTTTGTTTCTCTCTCGTATACATGTTTGTTTCTCAACAGCTTTTAGTGGTCTGCTACTGCTTGTGAGCTTCTTCTTCTTCTTCTTCTTCTTCTTCTTCTTCTTCTTCATCCTCATGTTTGAAAGTGGAAGGAACCATTGCACTACTTTGAACCAGCTATTTACAAACTCATACCCTATGCTACTTTTTTGCACAATATTAATATATTGCATTTCCTAAAATAATAGTGTGAGAGTATCGGTCTAAAGAAAAATACTACTTCTGAAATTTTACAAATATTGACCAAATGTGCATACTAACAGCCTATTTTTAGTATTATGAGCAGTTGGAATAAACAGTTTAGAAGTTTGTATCCAGACATGCAGTTCACCTGCAAATGACATTTGAAATCTTTTTAGGAGGTTTATGCAAATGTGGAGGAACGATAAAGGTAAAATGTTCTCTCAATTAATTTAGTCATTCAGTTGTGCCAGAGAGTTGTCATATTTTACACACCATCAATTCAAGTATTAACCAACTCAGCTTTTCAAATCCTGCAGTAGGAACTTATTGAAACACTAATGGCTCCTAAAAGTTTAAAGATTAAAAACTAAAAATTTTCATTTCTGTTTATTGTTAGTTATATCACAGGCACAAAAAAGCCTTTGCTCATGTCTGAGTTGGGTGCACGGTGACACATTACAAATACATTTTGTATGTTGCAGTAGATTTAGAAACGTGATGGCGGCTTATTCGTCACCTTTTCTCTGGCAGGAAAGTCAATAACGCCCGACACCTACGAGCTTGCCGCCCTGCTGCTCTGCATCCTATTTTGTGCTCCTAACATCACTTCCAAGAATCCCCTCTCCTCTAACTGTTTCTATCAGTCACTCACTCTCTCCTTCCATCATCTCCATCCATCCATCTCTTGTCGGAGGCTCTCAGCAGGGCTCGGGCTGTTGTATGCGAGGCATACTTGGGCTGTGGCGTCAGTTTGGAAATGAGGCTCGTTTGCATTTAAACACTCTGCTCTCTGGGCACTTGGTAAACTTGATGAGAGGAGGATGAGGGGAGCAGAGAGGGGAGGTGAGAGAAAGAGGGGAGATGAAGAGAGAGGGGGAGAGAGCAAAGGGAGTAATTGCAACACTAAGAGAAAGAGAGAGAGGAACTGGAGAGAGAGGGAAGTAAAGGAGTGAGTGTGTGGAGAACACTGGCTAATATAAATTCATTATGTAAATCCGCAGCTCAAACAAATTGACAGGCGGGTATTACACCCGAGAGGAGCTGAATCAAGAGCATGAAAGCATTAGCTCCACTCACCCTTGACCTCCAACCTCGACCTGTTCACCGGAGTGTGCCTGTTATGCATACTAATGACTCAGGAGGGGCCATACGGACAGTAACATCACAACACGTTTGTTTTTTTACAGTGTTGTCTGGAGACCAAGCCCTCCTTCCACATCTGTGCAGGAATGAAAACTATGCTGAAAGGAAAACACTGAAAGATAAGTGTTTTCTCCCTGAGGCAGACTCGCCCAGCTGATGCAGACTGCAGCAGCTGCTGCTGGAGACGGTTCTGTCTTCCAATAACCAAGAAGAATATTTGAATTCCTTCCCTTACAAAAAACAACACAATCAGCACTCCGGTAAGCCTGCAGTACAAAGAGGACTCAGAGGTTATGAGGCAGAGTTCTGCCAATACAAAGACCTGATCCACCATTTGGGAAACAATATGTGCTTCTCAGACCAAACAACCCTGTCTGTACCTTAGGGAACTAGAGCTGAAGTGGTGTAAGCATGCAGGAAGAAGTAGAAGAGGACAGGTTTCATAATACTAACAGAGTTGAAAAGATGTCAGCATGTTTATTTAATCAGTTCTTTGATACAAAATGAAGCTATAATAAAGAGTTATTAAAGGCCACCAGAAATAAGGTGATTAAATCCATTAGCTTAATTTGGGGCTTATGTTCATTCTCAAAAATTTCAGTTAGTGCTGGGTGGGTTACCTGTTCAAACCAAATACCTGTGGTTTTTTTTATGATATGAATTTTTCATAAACCCCAATGCTGGTAAGTGTGTAGCGTACAAAACATTGGGAACACAGAGCGGCGGAATGTCGCGCCGCCGGACATTGTTTGAGAGGGGGCTGTTTTGCAGTTGCACCAAACAAGCAGCATGTGTGAAAAAAATGGATAATGAAATTGAAGTTTCAGAACAAGTAAACAATGAAACAGAGGGACTTGTACTGAAATAAGGAGCCATGTCTGTTGTTCAGAAGTTCTTCGATCAAACAACAATATTCTGCAAATGTTGTCAGGCTAAAGTTGCACAAGCCATTTGCTTTACCACCTCAGCCACAGGCATGTCCTGAAATATCCAGAATGCATTAAACTACGATCTGCGCCCTCCACATCTGCAGGTAAAGGTATTAAGGTATTAATACTGGTGTGGACATTAATGTTTTTCTACAATATTCACTCTTCATCACAGTAAAATATGTCATTCCAAGCCAATTTACTACAGCATTTGTTCTCTAAATTATTAGAAAATGAGGGTAACACCCAGTCGTGCTTGAAAAAAAAAATCTGTCAAATACTTGGCTTGACTTCCTCCACTACTCACCTTGAGCGTCCATAGTTCATTACTTGTACTTATGATATTACACAAATGACCACTGCTTTATAACAGCCTACAATGACTCTCACACTTGGACTGATGCTGTTACACTGTTAATTGTTTAAGCTATGGTTCCTACACATAAGGCAGAAAAGCTAAACATGCTATCAACCTCCAGGTATGTGCTACCTCGCTGTAAATATTGTGCTTTTGATGTCCAGAAACACACTTTCAGACATTTCTTTGTCATGCAAAGAGGCAAAAAGAACAAACTAAGAGGTTGACTGTCCTCTGAAATGTCACAAGTCTCTTACACACACTGCAATTCCACAATATTTCTAAAACACCATCAATACAGCTTTGCGCTTGTAACCCAGGTGACAAATGCATAATAAGAAAGTACAATAAATAGTGATAAAAAGCATAAATAGTAAAAAGGGATAATAAACAGGTGTAATTCTGATGAAACAATTCATGAATGATGGGTTGTCATTGTTAAAAACATGATTTCCATGTATTTGATATAGCAGTACTTTTACTGTGACTCTTACGTATGTGTGCTTTTATTTTGACGTGCGTTTTCCAGGCATACGGTTTCCTGTGGAGCCGTTCTGTCTTTTGAGCTAGCGGGAGCCAGAGAGCAGAAGCATCCATTTTCCTCGGAGATAGAAACTATTGAAAGAAAGTAATTCTAAGTTGTTTTGAACTATAAGTTTACTTTTTGGAGTATTGAGTGACCAGCGCTGTATGTTGCTGTATGTTTTGAAGACCAGAAGCTTTGTTTCATCGAATGTTTTTCTTTTTGTTTGAATCGTCTCGGTAAGAGAACTTTTCTATCTTTCTGCTGAACTGCTGAAACCTAAGTCTTATGATGTTTATCACTGCTAAATACTTCAGTGAAACCTAAGAATTGTATTTTGTTTGTTAATACGTGTTGTAATGATTCTGAAAGTGTATTTTGGTTGAAATAAGTAGCTTTAAGCTCGGTATGAGCTGAACGTATTGCACATGCAGTGATCTCGCACTCAGCGCGTGAGAGGTGAGAGAGCTGAACGTGTTTTCATGATAGCCGCTGTACTCGGTAATGTTTGTGCAAGGTTACCGCGATTTCAGTATATTTCATAGTATTCATCCTGTTTACTTGATAATGGTAATTTAACTGAATGGTATGCAATGCTTTTCAGTATGAACAAAGTGTATGCAGTTTGCATAGCTTTTCTTTTGAGAATATTGATTTAAATGTTGTACAACTACTTGAAATTGAAACTGTTTGATATGTGATAGAAAACTGAAACTGAAAGTTGCCTGAATGTGTAGCTTAACTTAGGGTATGGTTACACAGGTCAAGTTTTTGAGCTGGATCTGGATTTCGCTGAGGATTCGTCGACTACATCTGATGGCGAGCCAACCCAACCATTGAGTGTGATCCTGTTCTATGTCATTGCACATGGCATATCTGGTAGGATTGTGGCCTACTAGAGTCACATCATACTGACTATGACTGACTTGACTTATTGACTACTTGAATTGACACTTTACAACTGAACCAAGGATTGAACTGTTCTGAACTGAACTAACTGAACTACTTGAAAGGAACTATTTGAAAGGAACTACTTGAAAGGAACTATTTTTTTCTTTTTGAACAACAACTTAAAGGAACTCTTTATTTTTCCACTTTTGGATTAAGGACTATTTCCTCAATCTTTTTGAAGGACAATTTACTTTTTATTTTATTTAAAAAGGTCTAATTTTCATTTGCAAACAGTTCTAACTTTTCAATTCATTACTAAAAGAAGAAAAACCTTATATCCTTGTGTGGTGTCTTTTAATTGCACTTGTCTTGCAGAGCTTAGTGTCTCTTGTTTTCTAGTTATTAGAAACTGGTCCAACAGTGACGTGTACATACTCAGTAGTGGGTTACACGGTAAAACTTGGCGAGCCAGCCAGGAGTGTTTATTTTAAGTGCAATCGCCACAATTTTTTGTATTTTTTCTCTTTTTGACTATTGCCTTTAAGTGTTGTGTTTTGTTTTGATCACAATGGAAATTGTTACACTAGCTAGTGTGAAAGTGCCTAACTCTCTTCTTATAAGGGGTTTAACAGAAACTGAGGTTGACAATGAGGTTTTTGAATATTTGAAGCAATATGGTAAATTTTCCAGAATAATCAAAGTGCCTGATGCTAGCGACCAAGTCGTTCTTGAATTTGAATCTGGATTAGCTGTTGAAACACTCCAAGGTTCTTTGCCTTTTGACAGAGTTTGTGACGGTAACACTGACATTGTTCACCATGTTGATGCTCTTGCAAATGTGTACTCATCAGAGAAAGGTACAGGTTTAACAGAGTCATTCCTAACTCAGCTTAAGGACATTGCCAAACTTAGTGGGAAATCGTTTGAAACACTCTTACAAGATGAGTTAGCCAGAATCTCTAACCTTGTTGGCCAGACAAAGCCAGCAGCTGAAAACGTTAAAGATACAGAGCTAATTGACTTAGGTGATAAACCAACAGCACAGACTCCCTCTTGTACTGAACCCGAAAATGCACACACTCTAGAGCCCACTAGAACTATTACCCCTGACATAAGCCGACCTGACTCACTTCCGCAACTGAAGCCAGCGCCTGATCACCTGAACCCGCCTGAGATGCAACGGTTCATTGTTGAGCATGTAGTGAAGAGCTCCGACCTTCGTTCAGACCTACACTCAGTGAAGCTGAGGACTTTTTCGGGCAGAGTTCCATGTCCAAGCACTGAGGTTGATTACGACACATGGCGAAACAATGTGGAGTTTTACATAGCTGATCCGTCTGTCCCTAAAGGACAACTTGTGAGGAAGATTGTTGACAGTCTTTTAACCCCAGCTGCTACAGTAGTGAAGTCATTAGGTCCTTATTGTCCCCCAAGAGCTTATCTTGACCTGCTCGATTCTGCTTATGGCATAGTGAAAGATGGAGACGATCTGTTTGCAGAGTTTCTTAACATCAACCAGAACTCCGGTGAGAAGCCATCCGGTTATCTTCATCGTCTTCAGACCGCTCTGAACAAGATTGTGAAGGTGAAAGCCATATCACCAACTGATTCAGACAGACAGCTTCTGAAACAATTCTGCAGAGGCTGTTGGAATAATACTTTGATCAGCACACTTCAGCTTGAAAAGCGAAAGGAGCAGCCCCCCACCTTTACAGAGCTGCTGTTGCTCCTGCGCATGGAAGAAGATAAACAAACAGCCAAAGCGAACAGAATGAAACAGCATCTCGGTTTCACAAAGACCAAAGTCCAAGTTCAAGCTCAAGCACAGAACCTGTATGAACCTAACAACGAGTATGACTTACCATGTCCATCTGAAACTCCTCCATCAGCGATGAATCAGCTTCAAAAGCAGATAGCTGACCTCCAAGCTCAGATTGCAGCGCTTTCCTACCCCAAAGACAAACCGCCAAATAAACCCCAAGCTGGAAAGAAAAAGCTGAAACCTACACCAAAAGAACAAGCCAGTGCTGAAGCCAGTGCTGAAGCACAAGCACAAAAACCAGACACCACGCCGAAAAAGCCCAGACCGTGGTATTGTTTCCAATGTGGTGAGGATGGGCATATAGCAACCAGCTGCACTGATACACCAAACCCTGCACTAGTTAACGCAAAGAGAAAAGAGCTGAAAGAAAGACAGACAGCGTGGGAAAAAGCAAACCCTGTTGTTGAAAGTTCTTTAAACAAGTAACTGTTTCTATTGAGGGACAAATAGGAACAGAGTTGACAAACAGTCCCACCACGACACAGAAAGTCAAGGAAAAAGTGACACTTAACGAACACAGAGCTGTAAGAACAGGAGAACTGCCTAGAGGCCTAGTAGGAAAAAAGAGCACAGCACATGTGAAAGTGAATGGAATTGAATGTAACTCACTGCTTGACACTGGGTCACAAGTTACGACTGTGTCTCAGTCTTACTATGATTCACACCTCTCTGATCACCCGATACGCCCAGTGAGTGACATACTGGACGTTGAAGGTGCAAACGGCCAGGCAGTCCCCTACCTAGGCTACATACAGTTAAGTATGCAGTTCCCTAAAGAATTTATGGCTTCACAACCTGAAGTACAGACTCTTGCCCTGATAGTACCAGACACTCGCTCCAACAGTAGCGTGCCTGTGCTAATTGGTACGAATACTCTAGACCCCCTCTATGAACAGTTCTGTGATGAAAGTCCTCTGGTAAGCAACACATACTGTGGCTACCAACAAGTCCTGAAAACCCTGCAGCTCAGACGAAAACAAAACTCAGAGGGTCAGATTGGTGTTGTGAAGTTAAGTCGTCATGAACCAGGTATCGTCCCTGCTGGACGGAAGGTTGTCTTGGAAGGCCTTGTTTTTGGAAGTGAAGCGAACAACGAGAGATGGGCAGTACTTGAAGAGCCCTCTATCTCGTCCTTGCCAGGGGGAATCTTTATTGACAGCTGCTTGATCTCTATTCCGGCACGTTCCCCGTACAAGGTGCCAGTTTTGCTGCGAAATGAAACCAGCCATGACATCGTCTTGCCAAGTAACTCTGTCATTGCAGAACTCGCTATACCTCATGAGATCAGCCAGACTCACAACACCTGTAGCCCCAGCCAATTGCCCCTGTCATCCACTGTCTGCTCCAGTCAGCAACATTCCTGTCATGAAGAGCAGCAGAATGCCAGCCTGAGTTTTGAATTCGGAAATTCTCCACTTCCTGCAAAATGGAAGGAACGAATAACACAGACACTGAACACCTACTCTGATGTGTTTTCCCATCATGACCTCGATTTTGGTCACGCGACGAAAGTCAAACATCGTATCAAACTGAAGGATGAGACGCCATTTAAGCATCGACCCCGTCCTATCCATCCTAAGGATTACGACGCTGTGAGACGACATCTTCAAACCCTTCTTGAAGCGGGTATCATCCGTGAATCAGAATCCCCATATGCTTCACCTATAGTCGTAGTGAAAAAGAAGAATGGCGACCCACGCCTATGTGTCGACTATAGGAGATTGAATATGCAAACGATCAAAGACGCTTATGCGTTACCGAACCTTGAAGAGTCATTTTCTGCGTTAAGCGGATCACAGTGGTTTTCCATGATGGATCTGAAATCCGGATATTATCAGATTGAGATGCACGAAGATGACAAACCAAAAACTGCTTTTGTATGTCCCCTCGGATTTTGGGAGTGGAATCGTATGCCACAAGGAATCACGAACGCTCCAAGCACGTTCCAGCGCTTAATGGAGAAGTGCATGGGCGATATCCATCTGCGTGAAGTGCTAGTATTCCTTGACGACATCATAGTCTTCTCCCAAACGCTGGAGGAACATGAGGCTCGTCTAACCAAAGTCCTGGATCGACTGAGGGAGAATGGCCTCAAGTTATCTCCAGAGAAATGCCGCTTCTTTCAAACATCTGTACGTTATTTGGGACACATTGTCTCACAGAAAGGAGTGGAGACCGATCCCCAGAAGATCGAAGCACTCAAGACTTGGCCGAGACCCCGTACCTTGAAAGAACTCCGTTCTTTTCTCGGTTTCTCTGGTTATTACCGGAGGTTTGTGCAGGATTATTCAAAAATAGTCAAACCGCTGACCAAGCTAACTGCGGGATATCCACCAGCACGAAAGTCCGCCCAGAAAACCAAGACTGACGTGATGTACTTCCATCCGAAGGAGCCATTCGGAGAGAGATGGACACCAGCTTGTCAGATTGCCTTCGAACTAATAATTGAAAGACTCACCTCATCGCCAGTCCTGGGTTTTGCTAATCCAGAGTTACCATACGTCTTGCATACAGACGCAAGCACTACGGGACTCGGAGCTGCCCTGTATCAAGAACAGGATGGACAGAAGCGTGCAATAGCTTACGCCAGCCGTGGCCTGTCACAAAGTGAAGCAAGATACCCAGCGCATAAGTTGGAATTTTTAGCCTTAAAATGGGCTGTCGTTGAAAAATTTCAAGACTACTTATATGGGCATTCATTCACTGTTGTGACTGACAACAATCCGCTTCGGTACATTCTTACCACGGCGAAGCTAGACGCGACCAGCTATCGTTGGCTAGCTGCCCTGTCCACCTTCTCTTTTGACATCCAGTATCGTGCGGGCAAGCAAAACCAAGACGCTGATGGTCTGTCAAGGAGGCCTCACAGACCACTGGTGAATGACAACTGCTCACAAGAGGAGAGTCTGCGGATCCATCAATTCACCTCCCACCATCTAACTCCTGTGGACGTTGTCAAGGCCACCTGTCAGTACCATGCAGTAGTGAATGAGGAGTCTTCGTCTCATTGTCTCGTGGAGTCACTCGCTATCCACCCTGATGCCATTCCGCCCGTGTTTGAGGATGCGGAGTCAGAGTTGCAAGGCCTCTGTTCTGTTCCACAGCACAGCGAGGGTGATATAGCCAGACTACAACGAGAAGATCCCTCAATCAGCGTGATCATCAAGGCACTTGAATCTGGTGAGCCTGCACCTCAACAGGGCGTACAGTCACCAGAGCTGATGCTTATGCTGAGAGAGATGAGCCGCCTTGAAGTCAAGAATTCACTGTTGTACCGAAAGCGACAGTGTGAAGACAGGACAGAGTACCAACTTGTTCTTCCACGTGTTTTGAGGTCATCCGTACTTACCAGTCTCCACGATGAGATGGGTCATCTCGGTATCGAGCGCACCCTTGAGCTGGCCAGGTCCAGGTTTTATTGGCCGAAGATGTCAGCAGATGTTGAGTCCAAGGTCAAAACCTGCCCGAGGTGTGTCAAACGCAAACATCAGCCAGAGAAGGCCGCGCCGATGGTCAGTATCCAAACCAGCCGACCCATGGAACTGGTCTGTATGGACTTCTTGTCCCTCGAACCGGACAGCCACAACACAAAGGACATATTGGTAATTACTGACCATTTCACAAAGTATGCTGTAGCGATACCCACGAAAGACCAAAAGGCCATCACTGTCGCGCGTTGCCTGTGAGCAATTCTTCATCCATTATGGCTTCCCAGAGCGCCTACACAGCGATCAAGGCCGTGACTTTGAGTCACAAATTGTCAAAGAGCTCTGTGCCTTAGTTGGTACAAAGAAAGTCAGAACAAGTCCCTATCACCCCAGAGGTAACCCTGTAGAGCGCTACAATCGTACTCTGCTGAGTATGTTGGGTACTCTGAGGGAGAAAGAAAAGACCAGATGGCGCGAGTATGTCAAGCCATTAACACACGCATACAACTGTACTCGGAATGAGGTGACTGGGTATTCTCCGTATGAGCTCATGTTTGGGCGCCAGCCCAGATTGCCCATCGACATAGCTTTTGGGTTGCCAGTCAAAGGAGCCTCATCCACGTCACACTGTCAGTACGTGAAAAATCTGAAGTCCCACTTGAAGGAAAGCTACAACATTGCCATTAAAAATGCAAAGAAAGTAGCTGACAAGAACAAAAAGAGGTTTGATATGAGAGTGAGAGAGTCATGTCTGGAAGTAGGCGATCGAGTTCTTGTACGTAACCTCAGACTTCGCACCAAGCATAAACTTGCTGATCGATGGGAGCCCACTGTGTATGTTGTACAGAAGAGAGCAGGAGAGTTGCCAGTATACACGGTGTGTCCTGCTGGTCAGGACGGACCCACCCGTACTCTACACAGGGATCTCCTGTTGCCCTGCGGGTTTCTTGCTGAAGAAGACGCAGAGCCTGAACAGCCTGTACGAGTCTCTAGACCCAGAACCAGACAAAGTACTCAGCCAGCTGAAAACCCTGACGAGTCTGATGAAGAGGACTATCCGCTGTCATATCCTCTACGTTTTGAGGTAGAGACAAGAATCATTGGTCCTGAAGTGATGCATTCAACTGAAAGAGCTCCAGATGTTACACAGCTTGGAAATGAATCAAGTCCTCCGACTCATTCTCAAACTATACCTGAAAACTTACTTGAAACTACTCCTGAAGTTCAATGCTCTGATATCCCAAGTTCTCCTATTGCAGAAGAAGAACCCAGCCTTATTCAGTTTCCACCTGATGATTCAGTTGATGTAGAGCCTGTAGAAAAAGAATTGCCTTCGAACCAGAGCAACACGAATGCGGAACCTGAGTCATCCATTGAACCTGAAGAAACAAAACAAACAGAGAATGATCAAGAAGAAGAACCAATCACTTTAAGTGAGCCGACAACTAACATTTCTCAAGAGCAGAATGACACTGTAGAATCAGAAGTTGTTCAACATGAAAAGACTGACACTGAAACCCCATTACTGACTGTATCTGACTTGCCAGTTGTTCCCAACATTGACACACCCTGTCCTACAGAGTCAAGTCCTGTAGAGAGTCCAGATACTGTTAGTGAGCCAGATCATGACGCATTGCGTAGATCTGAACGTCAGAGAAGAGCACCCGCAAAGTTTACCTATCCCCAATTAGGCAAACCATTTATTTCTTTTGCCCACAGTATTCTTGAAGCTTTCAACAATGCTTTAGTTGAAACGTTTGAGGGTAACCCTTTCCCACGGGAAAATGTCATGAAGGGACTCATGCCAGTTTAGAGAGGGAGGGTGTAACCCAGGTGACAAATGCATAATAAGAAAGTACAATAAATAGTGATAAAAAGCATAAATAGTAAAAAGGGATAATAAACAGGTGTAATTCTGATGAAACAATTCATGAATGATGGGTTGTCATTGTTAAAAACATGATTTCCATGTATTTGATATAGCAGTACTTTTACTGTGACTCTTACGTATGTGTGCTTTTATTTTGACGTGCGTTTTCCAGGCATACGGTTTCCTGTGGAGCCGTTCTGTCTTTTGAGCTAGCGGGAGCCAGAGAGCAGAAGCATCCATTTTCCTCGGAGATAGAAACTATTGAAAGAAAGTAATTCTAAGTTGTTTTGAACTATAAGTTTACTTTTTGGAGTATTGAGTGACCAGCGCTGTATGTTGCTGTATGTTTTGAAGACCAGAAGCTTTGTTTCATCGAATGTTTTTCTTTTTGTTTGAATCGTCTCGGTAAGAGAACTTTTCTATCTTTCTGCTGAACTGCTGAAACCTAAGTCTTATGATGTTTATCACTGCTAAATACTTCAGTGAAACCTAAGAATTGTATTTTGTTTGTTAATACGTGTTGTAATGATTCTGAAAGTGTATTTTGGTTGAAATAAGTAGCTTTAAGCTCGGTATGAGCTGAACGTATTGCACATGCAGTGATCTCGCACTCAGCGCGTGAGAGGTGAGAGAGCTGAACGTGTTTTCATGATAGCCGCTGTACTCGGTAATGTTTGTGCAAGGTTACCGCGATTTCAGTATATTTCATAGTATTCATCCTGTTTACTTGATAATGGTAATTTAACTGAATGGTATGCAATGCTTTTCAGTATGAACAAAGTGTATGCAGTTTGCATAGCTTTTCTTTTGAGAATATTGATTTAAATGTTGTACAACTACTTGAAATTGAAACTGTTTGATATGTGATAGAAAACTGAAACTGAAAGTTGCCTGAATGTGTAGCTTAACTTAGGGTATGGTTACACAGGTCAAGTTTTTGAGCTGGATCTGGATTTCGCTGAGGATTCGTCGACTACATCTGATGGCGAGCCAACCCAACCATTGAGTGTGATCCTGTTCTATGTCATTGCACATGGCATATCTGGTAGGATTGTGGCCTACTAGAGTCACATCATACTGACTATGACTGACTTGACTTATTGACTACTTGAATTGACACTTTACAACTGAACCAAGGATTGAACTGTTCTGAACTGAACTAACTGAACTACTTGAAAGGAACTATTTGAAAGGAACTACTTGAAAGGAACTATTTTTTTCTTTTTGAACAACAACTTAAAGGAACTCTTTATTTTTCCACTTTTGGATTAAGGACTATTTCCTCAATCTTTTTGAAGGACAATTTACTTTTTATTTTATTTAAAAAGGTCTAATTTTCATTTGCAAACAGTTCTAACTTTTCAATTCATTACTAAAAGAAGAAAAACCTTATATCCTTGTGTGGTGTCTTTTAATTGCACTTGTCTTGCAGAGCTTAGTGTCTCTTGTTTTCTAGTTATTAGAAACTGGTCCAACAGTGACGTGTACATACTCAGTAGTGGGTTACACGCTTGTGTACTGCACCCTGTAAAAGAACGACACTGGTGTCCACAGTGCCCAGCCCTGACAACTGCTGCAACCTGGAGCAGCTGTGGATTTTTTTTTTAGAAAGGTTGAGGGTTTGATCCCAGGTCTCACTGTCAGCATACAGAGGTGTCCTTGGGTGAGACATTTGACCCCACCTGGTCCTGCTTGCTACATGGCTGGTGTGAGAATGGGATTGGTCAAAAACATAAAATAGCATAGTTCATTTTTAGAGGATTTTCTGATTCTGTCGTGGTTTATTCCATAAAAGTTTTGGTTGTTCCTGCTGTTGCATTTATTTCAAAGTGTTCACAAGTTGGAGTCATTTTTGAATGACAAATGCAGGTTGTTGTAAAGCAGTTAGCTATCTTAGCTGACATAAGAAACCTTTAGTAGAACCAGACTAATGGACAGCCACCGGCATCAACCTGACAGGCTAAGCGAGGGAGAGGGAGATGCAGAAATAGGTCTTTTAAGAAGAAAATATGACATGTGGCAAATGCAAAGCCAACAAAACGCTCCTTTATAATAAATATCATTCAAGTATTTTGTGTGTCAGCTGGCTTTTTGTAGGCATGTGTCTTACAATTGATATTTGGAGTCCACTTAATCATTCAAACATGACATCTTCTCTCACAAAGTAAGCCAAACACACTTTATATGTTCAAGTTTCATGAATATCCATAAAGGATTTAACAATCACTGCAGCAGCCTCTTGAAGATCTGATTCAATAGACAGGATGCCTTTGGAGTTGACCATATGGAAGGGCAGGGGTTCAAGTGGTCAGCGTTCAGCAGCGGTGTGGCCGGCATCTGCAGCTGCTGGCAGCTTTAATTGGCCCGGCAGACTTACAGCCAGGCGCCACTCATCTCTGACCCAAGCACTGCCGGAAAAACCATCAAACAGGCTTCAAAGACTGCAGCGGGTTTAGGAAGAGAGGCTGAGAGACAAAGAGGAGACGGAGCAGAGGCTGCCAGCTAAAAGTGCAGATAAAAGCATCGAGTACAGAATGTAAGAGCGAGGAAAGACAGTGAGAGAGGGAGAGGGAGGTCCTGATGAAAATAATGAATCAGTGCTTTACAGATTGTTTTATCATTTAGCAGGAATGAAATCAGGCTGTTCTTCAGAGGACGACCAGACCAACTTATTTCAGGGAGTATTCAATTGTCTGCAAAGCCCTTTAATTTCTTTTGTATGTTCTGAACTTGGGACTTCATGAAACAGTTATATCAAGGATGCTATTTCCACACCTGATAATTAACCACTTGAAGTGGTCTTGAATTACACCTGAAATATAACAGTTTTTGTCTTAAAAAAAAAAACCAACAGCTTTATCTAAGAATACATCAAATTATTTCTAAAGTACCGCAGCTTTCATTTCAAACGTCTCTGAAAAAATTAGTTTTTATTTTGTTTAACCTATGAACATAATCACTTTTAACGTTTTCAACTGAGTTTTAAAAATAGAGCTTGTTTTCTGTAGTTATACTCCTCTTTCTTAACAAATAAAATATGGAAGATAAAGTCCAACGTCTTTTTAAAATAGCATAGATGTCTACAGATTTGTTTACAGATGTCTGTTCAAAAAAATAACTATTTGACCTGTTGAAAGAAATCTGACCGTTGGCAAATAATGACAGACAACCAACTTTACCACTGAGCCTTAGCCACAACATATCCCAAATGTCACGTGACCCTGTGCAAGGACTGGTTTCAAAGCTGAGCTATGACCCAAAGAGGTTTTGGTGTGTTATTCCAACACACTGTGTTCCTGGACATTGCTCTTCTGTCAAATATAACAGGGTGCTCTGTAACTCAGTGTTTGTTTGATGAATAAATATGTCATTTCTGAACTCATCTTTACACATTTATTTGACGTAAACCTTGGATGAACTTGATTTATCGAGTTACACCGAACCAGAATCTAATCAAACTAAACTGGATCCAATTTTTCTTTCTTTTGATAAACTGTACTTGAATGAAATCATGTACATCAAGGACCAAATTACATCTGATTGGATCGTCATGTCTACTCACTCGTCTTTGGTTCCATTTAGTTCCATTTATTTATTTAAAAGGGACAATGCACATTAATGAACATTAAAATATAAATATGCCAGATTTAGCCAATGGCTAATTTTCATCTGTAGTCCTTAGCAGATCAAGGAAAAAAAACATAAAAAATGGAAGCACAGTGACAAATACAAAGGTCATCCATACAGCATGGAATTCACTCATGAAACAGAATTAAGGGAAAAAAAATCAGTCAACAAGTAGATACTAAAGGAATAAAATTAGGCACTGTCAGCTGACATAGAAAACAAAACAGAGAAAGAACAGTTATCTAGCCAACATTTTTAAGTCTAAATTTAAATGTCATGAATGTGGCAGAGTCTCTAATATCTGCTAGGATGCTGTTCCAAGACTCCACTACTTTAACTGATAGAGCCGATAGGATTATTTAAAAGAGCATTTAGGTTTTCCTGGTTTAAAAGGGTGAAATATTAGTTGAATTTATCATGTAAATGCTTTGATTAGACTTTTAAAAAGGGTGAAATCACACAGGTGGACAGGTATCAATACACTAAAGCAAAAGACTACAGATATGCTTTTAGTCTAGAGGTCACTTACAACTAACCACAGAGATAATCTCCATCCACCCCTCCACTATCAGTGCCCAAACCCACTGGCACCATTCAATTAGCAGCATCCTGCAGCTCTGTTCATTTACTGCCTAATTGACCTCCAAGCCGCGCAAAAGATCCAGTCCTGGCAATGACAACAGCTGCACAGACCGAGTCCCTGTCATGTTGACACAATAATTACACAGCAAGTCACCCAAAGTGGGCTTTGGGGGTCAAAACTGGGTGAGAAGAAAGATAAGTGGGCAAATAGGAGGCAGAGGGGATCAGAGGAGAAATAGATGTTGGAGGAAAAGAGGAGGTTAGGAAATAGAAAAAAGAGAGAGAGAGGACAGCTGACCGGAGGCTTGTTCAACCGTGAGATTAGGCTAAGTGATGAAAAGCAGGGAGGAAGTAGAGAGACAGAGACAGTCGGAGAGCCTCAGGTTAAAAAAAACCATAGCTATTCAGTGGCTCAGTCTGAGCAGAAATTGAGATAATATGTTGCTGGGACAGCCAACACTGAGACCAGACCAGACACTGGCTAGATCTAATAATGGAGACTGATAAACACCTCGAGGTCCAATCAGAGGGAACGACTGGACACTTCAAGGTTAAAACATTAGTGTTCACAAGTACACTGTATAAAGATAACATTGCTCCACTTCTTAAAAAACATAAACTCATCAAAGCTGGTGAACTTTACACAAAGCCAGACAATCAGAGAGCTTTCAACAGAAACTTTAATGACCAAATACAGTCTAAAAGCAAGAATATGTTCTAAACAAGGTTCTAAA